AGACACCCCAATTAGTATATTATGTTATAATCATAATACATACACGGAATTTTTAGTTAAACATTTTTATGCACTGATTATTTATCAAATTAGTTATACTAATTCCGGAAGAATGTTGTGGTCACAGTACAAATATACGAACGCAAAGACTTTAACGTGCTTGAAATAAAGTTCATTTTTATTTATTTTTATTGAATGACAGAATTAGTAATAATACAAATAAAACTGCACTCTTAAAAGTCTTATTGCCTTAAGGTAAGGTCCATTTCAGTTTGTTTTGACTGTACAGATTTAATGTGACTGTAATTTACGTAGTTTTAATTATTTTTGGGATAAAAAATTACCTATACTAAAAATGTTAGGAATCGATTCAGTAAACGATTCTGAACAAACTACTTTCTCAAAGTACGTTAATTATGTTATATGTTGTATAAAATGACAGCCCCCATTTATTTCTGTCTGAATTTATTTCTGTAATTTTTGAACATTGAAGTGAGCGCCTGCTGGCTCAATGCGTGTGGCTTTCATGTAATAAATTTTAAAAAATCCTCCTTCGTCTAGCACATAGTAAATTAGAGAAGACTTCCCACCGGCAGAAGTGGCATGCGGTTTACTCCTGTTTAGGGTGTTCACAAACTCATACATATGCATCTTACGCACAAAGTTGCAGTATACTATATACTAGCTGGTACCCGCACGGTTCACTGGACGCACGAGAATATTTTATTGCAGAAGCTAGATGTAAAATATCAAGATTTTTTTTTGATAAGGCAAACGTAAACTTACTACTTTGTGAGCGTCTACATTGCGAAACGTGTAACTATACTAAATTTCAAGTCAATTATTTGTATAGTTTTAGAAATCTCGTGATGAGTAAGTCAGTGGTATTTCGCTTATCTTCTTCTTCTTAATACAGTAAAGCGTCGATTATCCGAAAGTCGATCGACCGAAAGACCGCTTAACCGAACTGCTACCATATCACGCTGAGATGCGACAAGCGCAGCAGCCCGCCAGTCAGACCGCGTTGTTCCAAACACGTAATGCCTATTGTTTAAACCTCACAAAAAGCGCCTGGATAAACAGTTCAATGTTCATGGAATGGGTTATAGAAGTTTTTTTATCCACTGTGAAAGCCATCAACTAAAGAATGACAAATGAGAGAAAAATTTGTTACTCCTCGATAATGCACCAGCTCATCTATCATGTAACATCCTAAATAAAAAGGACGAATTTGTAAAAGTGATGTTTCTTCCACCTAACGTAACATCCTTATTACATTCGATGAACCAAGGTGTTATTGAGACTTTCAAGCGATATTACAGAAAAAAAACTGCTACGTAAGTTGTTGCTAGAAAAAGAAGAGGAGGGAGAAGAAAGTCTAATTAAAAATTATAAAAAGATAGATTTAAAAGATGCATCCGATATGATCGGAGTAGCTTCGGACAGTTTTAAGGAACAGACTAAAAAAAGCCTGGAATAAAATTTTGAGTATAGCGGAAAGTTTTCAAAGCGAAAGTGGAAATGACAAACAGAATGATATCTGTGAAGTGCTAAATATGCTACAAGAACTCAATTGCCATAAATGTGAATGATGACTGTCGACGATGCAGATTATGGGCAACAAATCTTGCAGGATAGCGAAATTGTCGACCTCGATGTCGTGAGTGACAAAGCTGATGCCGCTTGTTTTGGACGGCAGGGACACGTCCAGTGCCCGCACAGTCGCCATGGGACAATCTCCCACTTGAGTGACGTACGCTCCTTACTATTTGCTGGTGACGCACGTCCCACGCACCCCTGAATGCGTATGTAGTAGTACGACCTACTGGGGCTTCGAGAGAGAGACGAGTAGCCGGGAGGAGGCAAAATTAAACACTTTTCCTAGGTATGTTCTTGTTCCGCAGGTTTCAGCTTCCCTTTTCCTTCCTGCTGTTGCCACTTAGACGGCTGTGCTGCGACTGTGCGGGCACTGGATGTGTCCCTGCCGTCCGAAACACCGCCAGCAACTCATCAATTAGCGGAAAATGAAGTCGTAAATATTCCTAGTGCCTCTGAAGCGATTCAATGCTTAGAAACTGCTTTCCGATGGTTTGAAACTCAAGATGAAAGCCATCAGTATCAGATATCTGTCCTGAAAAAAGTGCGTGAACAGAACAGACAAACGAATTTTTTTTAAATGGTTACTCTTGTTTCGATAGCATGTAAATATTTTATACAAAAATATTAACAAACAAAACCAACAATAATTACGAAGAAAACTCTTAGAACGCGTCGATGCTCACAAATAGCGAAACCTCACTGAACTTTTTTTGTAGTTTATACCATTTTGGTATCATTGATTCCAATATGGACTAAAGTTATTGAACTTACGAAAAACGCATATCGCAACATAATTTTTTTGCAGTCTTTACTTTTTTTTGCGCCCGAAGCAATTAAAGGGCTACCCTATACGTAGGGAGGCGGAAAATGCATTACGCATACCACGATAGCCGGTCTATCGTGGTTATGAGGGGCTCACTGTCCTACCGGGGACCCTAAGTGATACCCTCTAAAAACCGCCTTTGGGGACAGGCAGCCGGCTGATCAAGATGTATTGTATTTTATCATGAGCGACCCTCTTTTGGGAAAAGAGGGCGCAGGCGGCTAAGTGCCGCTGAGGGAGTGGTACTTTATCATGAGCGACCCTCTTTTGGGAAAAGAGGGCGCAGGCGGCTAAGTGCCGCTGAGGGAGTGCCTACGAAGGCAAATTAATGTTAGTTATTACAATAATTTAATTTAATTAGAGTTGGCCTGAGCCGCCAGGAGACAGTTCAGGTCGTTTGACAGTTTATTAGGCGGGTCCGAGAGAGAGTTTCTCGGCCTGCGTACACGATAGCGAGAGGGGGTGGGGCTGCATAAGAAGCTGCCTCACGAATTAAATGGTTTGGGTGCGACTCTGAGGCTTTGAAGAAGTTCTCAGAGAGTTTTTTAAAAAATTGTTGAATTGTTGGGAGCTCTAAGTCCCGATGAAGGTCGGCATTACGGACGTACCAAGGTGCGTTCGCAGCTCGACGACAGCAGAGGTTCTGAACTATTTGGAGTTCATTTAAAATATTAGGGTTTGCGTGGGCAAAGACGGGGCCCGCGTAGGCCATGACTGGTCGTATACAGACCTTGTAAAGGGTACGCTTGTTTCGAAGGGACATTTTACTGTGTCGGCCCAACATACTGTTGAGCCTACTCAGATAAAACCGTGCGTGACGGGTTACTCTTTTGACGTGGGGCTTGAAAGTGAGCCCTGTGTCTAGAGTGACACCTAAATATTTGGCGGACGTATGCCAGGGGACAGGGGTCCCTAGCATACGTATTGGTGGAGTGTTTTTGAGACGGCGTCGTTTATAATCGAAGTGAACGGCGGAGCTCTTCTCCGGGTTCACATCGATGCGCCATTTTTTGAACCAAGCTCCTAGGTCATCAACTGACTTTTGGATCTTATTCCGTATGAAGGGTAGTGAGACACCTTTGCAGTAGATGGCAGTGTCGTCTGCGAAGAGGGAGAGTTGAACACCTTTCGACGGGATGGGAATGTCGTTGGTGAACAGGATGTACAGCAGAGGAGCAAGTACTGAGCCCTGAGGGACACCAGCCTTGATAGTTCGCTGTGAAGAAAGCGTGCCTTCGTGTCTAAAACGAAAGGTACGATGTTTTAAATAGGAGGCCACGAGACGAACTAGACGATCGGGGAGACCTATTTTGTAGAGCTTGTAGATGAGGCCTGTGTGCCAGATTCTATCGAAAGCATGGTTTAGCTATGTCGAAAAAGACCGCGATGGTCTTATGACGACGAGGATAGAAACCGCTGAGGATATATTCCACAATGCGGTGAACTTATTGGGGACATGAGTGTTTGGCTCGGAAACCGAATTGATGGGGAATGATAAGAGGGTCGCCGTCTGTGGGAAACAGATAGCGCCTCATACGCGTTTGGACGACTCTTTCGAAGAGCTTGCCCATTGCCTTGAGGAGGCTAATGGGGCGATGGCTGGAGGGGGAGGTTGAGAGGCTTGCCTGGCTTGGGAATTCCAATCACAGTAGCCTCTTTCCACGTAGTGGGGAAATAACTGAGGTTGAAGCAGGCGTTGAAGATAATAGATAAAAAAGGTTAACACCTGCTCAGGAAAGTGTTTTAGGGCTTGGTTGGAGATGCCATCCGCGCCCGGAGCCTTTTTGGGCTTAAGTCCTTTGATGAGGGATGAAATCTCAACATTGGACACAGAGATAGGTTCGGAGGCCGTAGGGGGTGAGTTCCGGCGGCGGACCTCATCCTCCACTGCCTGGACGTGAGAGGGGTCGACGGGTTGAGAACTAGGAGAGCATTGAGCGGCAATGCTATCTGCAAAGCACTCAGCCTTTTCCTCGTCCTCGAAGGCAACCGTGCCGTCGGGACGGGAGAGAGGGGGAGTGTGGGTGATAGCGTCTATGCGGAGGGCTCTAGCCATCTGATAGTACGCTGTGTGAGATGGAGAGATATTCTCCATGAGCTTACTCTTTTCGAGGTCTCGAAATTCAGAGAGGCGGAAGCGGAGTTCTCGTTGAAGACGATTGGCCGCGCGCCTATATTCGGGGGTGGGATATTTTGCTGCTCTCCGGAAAGCAGCTTTTTTGGCTTTTAATAGGTTGCTAATATGTAGGGGAAGCCCACTATTGTTAGCAACCGGGACGACCCTTTCGTTCTCCTTAAGGGAGGATTTAATAAGGGTGGAGTAGTCTTTACCGGCGGGCGGGAGTATAAATAGCGACAGTGTGCGAGCGAAAGATGAATAAAGGCGACGCCATTTTTAATCCCATTCTTTAACCGCACTGGTAGCATACACAAGTAAATACATTAAATGGAGGTTCATGTAACGGGGAAAAGTACACCATAGGATGGTAAATGATTAGAAAAAGTAGACCTAAGTATATGTGGGGGGAGGCAGTTAAATAAATATATATAAAATAACTAGTACTTACATTCATTTCAGGCTCGTACTCACCAACTGCTGGTTCATAATAAGGAACTTTTGGAGCACATTGCTGCTTTAGTCGCTCACTTACAAGAACGAGAAAAGGGGAATGCTCGCCCGATCAGCGCTCAACAACTCACACTCTTGCCACAGGTATAAAAACATTTTTCATTACATATCCATAGCTCCGCTTTGATTTGTTTTTTTTTTTTAATGTTTAGCAGCATGTTTGTAATAATTAATGTTCAGTGGACTTCAGTGTGTTTAGTGGAATCAATATACTAAATAATACAGTCGCAACTAAATTATAAGTTACCTACTTCATTTTAGTAAAAAAATTAACACGTAGAAAAATTATAAAAATGTATAAATGTAAAAAGTTATGCAATGCAGAATTCTATTCTATTCTATCGTTTTTATTATTCACATCGATTGTAGTTAATTCTGAAATGTCAAAACATGAAAGTATTGAATGACATTCCGACAACAATGCAGCTGTCGTCTTCATGTTGCGACAAAGAGATTTAAATATATTTGCTACTACTACTTAAATGTCTCTGTGTTGCGATTATTTAGAAATTTATTACAAAATCTTGTACCATTTTATTTCACAATAAATAATATTGTATTATATTAAATTTATAATTGAACTAATGACGCGTTTCGGCTTAGCACGGATACGATTTGTCAAACGTTGTCATTTCCCTACAATAAATACATATAATATAGTTATCATACTTTAAAATTTATTAACAAATCAAAGTCTATTTAATGGTATATAGTAAGTCAGCTCAAATTCTAATTTTGCTCCCACTTCCCCGCACGTCGTATGCTATGTACCGACATGTTTGTAATCTCTAATACTGTAAGTAGATAGGTCGTTAGATACTTATTTCATTAGGTTTATCATATTTATGTCTGTTTCTTAACGCCAACCCAGTCGCTTCTTATTTTTGTTACGGTTATTTCCCGTTTTAATTTTACGTCGTCCTGTTGCGTAATGTGTATTCTGATCGTAAGCGACACAACTTCTCCCTTCAAAAGCCTAAGCGATACTAACGGGGCGACAGGAATCAAGCTTCAAGAAGAAGAAGCTTTCTTTTTACAGTGAAAATAATTATTTATTATATATTTAAATATTTAAAAAAAAGTAAATAACATAAGCACTGCTTTATAGTTAGTTCAGTTAGTATGCAAAGTTTCATGATGTTATTTAAAGTATTTTATGAATAACAGCGGTTTATTGTTCAGTTTGTAAGTACCTTTGGATTTTTTTCTATCGAGAAAATTTTACGGAATCGTGTTTTCATCTAACACTTACATTTCCTCTTTCCATATAATTATTTCAAAATTAATGCTGCAATACTTTCGGCATAACGGAAGGATCTTGCTAAGCCATTTGAGGTTATAATTCCCCTTAAGTGAATACATTGGGCGACACGTATATATGCGACTAAACTTAGTTAGTCTAAGACATTGAAACTGAGATTAAAATGTTTGAAATTTTTAGTAAATAGGCAATATATTGCAATTTACATTTTATATTCTCTAAGAATAGAATAGTATGAATTCAATTACCTCAGTACAGACAAGGACCCACTTCAACTAGCTAGACGTTCTCGAAGAGTTCAAAAGGTATTTGCATTCAGCCCGGCTTCGTCAACACTTCGATTTTCTTTGTTAAACCTTCAGTATACAATGTGTTCATGTAGAAAATAAAAATAATCATTTTAATATGCAATTAAATTCTTATTGTAATCCCTCTGGCAAGCATTTTGTGATAAACCATTCTGCGTTGGTTCATTTTGAAACAATCCAACCGTTAAATGGCGCTTCGTTTGTGTATCGTAATGATAAATCCAAGTTTCAGTATCTATACATATAATAAATCTGTAGAAAAGTCGTGTCTGTAATTCTAATATTTCCTGGAAAAAACTAGTCCATGGGACTAAATGACTAAATGTAAAATGGGTCTGTGTATTAAATATTCACGCAAAAACTACTGGACATCTTAAATTTTGTATGCAGACTGTTAGTGACCCGGGGCTACTTAAAGGCTACTTTTTATCCGATTTAGGAACTTAAAAAAAAGGAAAGTTAAATATTTTCCTTTCTTTAGAAGTTAATTTTCTATTATGTATGATACTGTTAGTTATAAGCGGGATAACGTAGTGTTTTTAAAGGAATACAATATTTTAATTAAATTTAAAATTTGTTTTAACTGATATGTAATAATTTGAAACTACGCCAACGATCTAAATTGTACGTTTGTAAGAAACATCGCCATCTGTCATTAAAAGTAAAAAGTAGTATATATAGCAGTATATATTTGGCCTTCAGTTGTCAGTTACTTACTAATAAATTTAATAACATAAATAACTTACACTTATATATTTAAATAATTATATTTATTAAATGATTTGAAACTTCTAAGATTTATTTTAAGTTTTTCATTCTTTCATATTAATAGTAATAATTTAAATAGATAATAGTGAAATCTATGAAAATTCAGATGGTTTTTAGTTTAATTACTAATACATAATAATGAACTGATTAACATTGGTTTGCCTACGATTATTGCAAAACTCTCATTACGCTTAACTTTACTTAAAGATCTTTCGTATATTTCGCGCCAGATGGTAGATTGTTTTTATCATGAATATTCGATCATTACATGAAATTGTGGCATTTCGTGAAATTTAACACTGTATGTTGACCTTATCATGATAAGGCTTGACCAAATCGATGAATAAACATTGTTTAAAGAAATTAACGCCTAAACCCAACATTGCTTTTTCATAATATTCTAATTATATCGTAAAATAGTTTCACTATTCACCGCTAGAGGCGCCAATAGCGCATTTTTTAACAGAAACAGGTTTTTAACAGAATCCACATAACTCCATGCCTCATCACGAACATTTAAATAATATTTATAAATGTTCGCGGCTTTGACGTAGCCCAAGGATCACCCCAGCCGCATATCAATCTACTGTCGCTGATATTACTAGATGGTGCTTTCGTGTGATATTATGGCGAAACGAGAATAGTCATCGTAGATTCAATTGTAAATTGAGGATAAATTTGACCAACGTTGACATTTATACGATACTAGCGATTCACCCCGGCTTCGCCTGGGTGATTTCTGGATGTCGGTAACAGCACCACCTACTGGATATAAAATCAAACCAACTTGTAAATCTGAACCATACAGGGACCCACTTAAATACACACAAAACATTTCATCAAAATCGGTGTGCTTTAGCGATACTATCGGACAGCAATTGATTTTTATATTTATAGATTACTATAGTATGCATGTATTATATATACAAACCTTCCTCTTGAATCATTCTGTCTATTGATGAAAACCTCATCAAAATTCGTTGCGTAGTTTAAAAGACCTCAGCGTACAGACGGCGGGAAGCGACTTCGTTTTATACTATGGAGAGATGGTCAGTAATAATGGGCTATCATGAAATGATTGCGATATTTGAAGTGGTACAGCACTTCACGATAATATAATCAATTCTACGATCTGGCCGCATTTACATAACTTGAGAGTTTTGGCCTTCATAGTTTTAATCTAAAATTTGCGCCATCTATTTACTGCTAAATAAACTAATAATAACTAACTGATAAGATTAAATATAATGCTACTGTATATTATTCTTGCAGGATCTGACTGAAAATTGACATTATTTAGTCAAAATTAAATTACCTTAATTTATGAATAAATGTAAATAGTAAAAAGTAAATAATGTAACTTTGAATCAAATATAATTTATCCTTATTAAAGTTACCTCGGAAGTCACGACCGATGTAAAGTGACAGGGGTTGCTAAACGTATGATATTAATGCAATTCTAAAAAAATCTACGTCTAATAGTCTCTAAGAATTCAAAAGATATCACTTGACTAACAAACGTGACAACGAGAAGACTCTATAAGTGATCCAACTTTGTTGATTTTGGTATGGAGCAGTATTAATGATGTTCTTCGACGGAAGCCCATGCGAGCGAAGCCGCGGGTAAAAAGCTAGTCTATAATAAACTTGTAAACATGCCAAGTATATTATGATTCAAATTTAGTAACCATTTCGTGTAACCATTCTATCCGAATCTGCTTCTAAGCACCGGTGTGCTTGAGAAGCACCCAACGCGAAAGTAACCATAATAGCGGCAAAGTTGTTTGTATTAAATCTTGTAAACGCTCCCGTGTCCAATCTGCAATATGTGCCGTAATTTGACTATTCACTGTTAGCGCGCTTACTTGCGTAACAACCGTCAAAGGGCGACCACTTTTTTCTTCATTTTTCAAAGTTTTACGGCCGTGGTTTAGCTTGTTATACCAGCGATACTCGATTATCTTAAAATGACCTTATCCATAAATGCTATCCAAAGTGTATCAAACGATTCATTTGGCTTAAGGTGAAGTGGGCGACAAAATCAGATTTTTCACGCTTTACATGGACCGTTTGGTCGGCCCGCGCGTTATTTAATCGCACAATATTTATTTGATATTTCTTTTTAAAATGATATATACTCTTTATTGAAAAATAAACCCATAATTCACTCACATATTTACTGGTGAACACATTCAAATAACAGCCTGAGTTTCTTTTTTTTTGAAACTGCTTTTTCACTTTGTGGAAGTACCTAAAATTGTAGATTTTGAGGAAACTACGATCTTTTTCTATCAATTCAAAATATGTCAATCGTGTTTTGGTCACCATAATTCACTAAGAATATTTTTAACTTTCATAATCTAAAAAAATCTGAATTCGTAGCTTTTGGCATTTAAAAATGTAAAAAATCGCAAAATATGAGTAATATTTATTTAATATATATGATGCAAAATAATTATATTTTATTTTTATTTGAATTTAATGAAAGTCAATTTTATCTCTCTCTACTGCCGATTCTGATAAAAAGTTCGCGCCGGATTTAACTGGTATTACTAGTTTAGACTTGTTTCTAGTAAGAATCCTAGTGTGTATAGTAAAATACAATTTTTATAGTTCTGTTAACTGCAAATATGTTATTACATCAAAATATCCTTTATTTATAGAACAGACAGAAAACAGAAACAAAAAACTCTCTCTCAGGCAGGCTTTGCGGACAAAAGACACAAAGGCTCTCGATGAATAGGGAAAATTACGATTCGGACTCATCACGGACTCAACGTGCATGGTCCTGTCGAAGTGACTGACAGCGAGGCGTACATTCGATAGTCGCAATAATACCAGTACTTTCGCTGTAATTTTTCGGGAAACTCAAACTCAATTGTAGTGTCCACGTAGTCAGTGTTTAACGAAGCGGCGGAGTCCCAGTACTTTCAATAGGCTACTATTTGTACGCCGTGTACGTTATTATTCATCACTAAGGTGTCGATCGTTTGAAAGTATTCACCGTGATCATGTATACACTTTTCCGTATATCTAAGCCACTTGGATAATGCATCTAATTATTTTTCTTGAAACGCCTCAGAAATTTCGAATCTACAACCAGTCAGTATCATCTCATCTATTTTTGTTAATTATTTGAAACAAATATAATTACACGGTTGGCTCATCTTTAGAACACCATATAATCTTTTCTTCTTATTAATTCATTATAATCTTTTCATTGTATGGCCACGTTTCATATCAGTCACTACATCTTTTCATTCGTAAACTGTCACCAACCCACCTATGGGTCTTTCTGCGCGTCGGTACGTTATGCAGCACCTCCGCACCAGCGCAAGGTCGCGTAGTATGTATTGCTACTGTAATGCATTAGTAGCAATACATACTACGCGCAATACCCAGTTCCCAATCAATCTCTACATATATAATTCATCAGTGTTTTGAATAAGATTTTTAACTGCTCGAATATTTTCTTGAGTGACCGCATTTTGCGGTCGACATGTCTTCACTTCATACCCAAAACTTTTCCGTCCTCTTTTGAATTCAGCAATCCAATTAAAAACTGTTGCTTGCGAACAAACCAACTCACCAAAGTTGTAGCCCAAAAATTCAAAATATTATGGAGGCTTTAATTTTTTTATGTCTTAATAAATCATAGCGCGATAATTATGTCGCATGAGCTTTATTGCTGCGAGCGGATTCCCGCCAAATTCTTATGAAAAAAAAAACCAAATTAATACATATTTGTTCAATTTTCAAACCTATCAGTAACTATCCAGCCTTTATGATTAATAATAACCTGCGAGTGTCAAACAAATAACAAAAAACTAACTTCTTTCGGCATGCCACTTGTATAAGATCTGTATGTTCTACTTTCACAAGCAAGAAAAAATGTCGCGAACTATGCGTCGTCAACACAAACACAAAAATAATTGCGCGTTTTAAAAAAAAACTAATTTTGAAGGTTTGTTGTGTGTGTCTTAGATTTTCCTACTACCAAGTACTAGTATATTTAATATTTGTCGTGTTTTTTTTTTCCTACAATTTGCTGTTAAATAGTTTGCTTTTGTTGTTAAAAGTAGGTAGTCACATCAGGATATTAATGTTTGGGTCTGAATTAAATCTTTTACAAAATATTGTAAGTATTTAGTATAAAATCAATCAATTGATGTATTGTTTGAGTATACTTCTATTATGAATAGGCTACATTAAATACAAAATAAAGAACGGACCCCATTCAAAACTGATGTGAAATATACCTAATAAGTGTTGTTGTTTATTACGTAATATTATATATATTAAATGTTGTGACACATTTTTTTTTAATCGTAAAGGCATATTGATTTTCAGTTGTTATGTGAGTAATTGATTTATTTTCGCTTTTTTAATTATTTGCTTGGGAATAGCTGCTTTCGTTTGATATCATATAAATTACATTTTATAAAATAACGTTTTATATAATTTTTTAATTGTATAAAATAACTCTCTTTTAACGTTTCGGGTTCAGAAGATCGAAGCCGCTAGCGACGCAAACAAAACAGAAAACTTCATAAATAACAACGGAAATAAGCAGCAACTCGACAACGCTGCTTTGCTTAATTTCCTGGCACAAAACTCCAAACCCACTCAAAATCAGAATATTGAGAACAACAACTTACGCTTGTCTACGTTCAACTTGTCTCCAACTGCTCCTGACGGTAACATAAACGGATCGGCGCCATGCTTCGCGGGGATGACGAATGAACAAATACAGAATTATCTCATCGCTAAATTCCAAAACATGACATTTGTCAACGGACACGTCGATAACACGGCGAACAACAATCATCACTTTTTCCAGAACAACAATGCCTTCCCGAACATCCCACCGATCACCAACAATTTTAGCAATTCTGACTTGGCAAGCTTGCTAAACCATCAGTTATACAAGGATACGTCTGGCTCGAGTGATGAAGCGGGCGCTTTGGCTCAAGCCATGAGTGTGGGTCAATCCCAGAACTCCCTGTACAGCAACAGTCAAGCTACAACTTCTAAGGACTCGTCGCCGGATGCTTTTAGCTCCGACGAAGGACAGCCATTCATAATGCCACTGTCGCATAACGCGACTTTGGCGGCCACTGGTAATGACGGACGTGTCAGACTTATTGTGCCAGTCAGTCCCTCTGAAAGCACATCGGATGTTATTGAGACGCAGAAAAACCCTAAAACCCCTAGTGTCTCACTAAAGGTCCCGGAAGATTTGTCCCCAGCGGCTCCGATCACGCGTACCACCAGCGAAAAAGTACCAAACCGGAGCGAGTTGATGACGGCACTCCGAGCCCAATGGACAAGACACACAACCAAATAAAGGAATGAAAACAACTTCATTCGAGTCACGTTACCTAAATCTAAATCCTTTTATCTGTTTAGTTTTCATAGAATTGTAGTTATAATATTTATACAATGTGAAATTATTTAAAACAATTTTAAATAAGTACTTATGAAAGACTTTGAACTCAAACGGTGCCAATTTATAGCCACGTCAATTGAGAAATGGCATTCTTTTTTTATTGGTTTATTGTAAGTAGTACAATTGTACAAATTTGGTTTACATATCATGATATTTTCTAGTCGCTTACTTGTAAACACTATTCGAGATAAATTTCTGTTACATATCTATATCATATCATAATCAGAGGTAATTTAGTTTTTACGAGCAATTTTCTTTCGAAATGAAATTGATTCAAAGCCATATGTAATGGTTTCGATAAACCATAAAGTTCTATTATTATCATATTTATATGTCCATGTAACCATATTAGAAACCTATTTATTTAGAATGTATCTAGATAATATTATATGGTTGAAAATTTATCATTTAATAAGTATTCGCATTTTCCAATTGAGATGTATTTTTTTAAATATTTCTATTTTTATAAATTAATGTCCGAGATATGGTAGGTGTGGGGTAGCAAGTACCAAGCGTTCGCCGTAAATTTTATAACACACAAACTACTCTGGTTCAATTCCCGCCGACACCAATGAAATTGTTTTAAGCGGTTTTAAGTGGTGATTGACCCCGTGTTTGACGGTGAAGGAAAACATTGAGATAAAACCTGAATAAATGAAATATTAAAAATAATTACGACATGTGTAGTTCGCCAACATGCATTGGGGCAGGGTAGTAGCGAAACCTTACCTTAAAGCCCTCAGGCAAGGCAGTGTCAGCCACATCTGTGCCCAGCAGTGGAATGTTTATAAGCTGTATAATTTTTTGTAGTTGTTAGTTAATACATAAACATTAATATTTATATTTTATTAGTTTGTTATGAAGATTTGTTATTCTAAATAACAAATTTTAAACTCATTATTATTATTGTTTTAGGTTTTTATTATTTTTATTTGATGATTTAAATAGGCTGTTAATTTGTTTTTAAATAAATACATTTGTATTAAAATACTATAGTGAAATGCTTATATCTACAGTATTAAGTGCCAAATTGTATATCTATTATTAATGCCTATTACAATTAAAACGTCACTATTTTGTAAGAATGGCACATTTTAATATATGATAATCCTGGTGTTGTTTTTTCTGCGGCTGTAATGTATTTATATATAAAAAATATTATAGGAAAATCTACATGTCTCATTCAATAATATTACATAATTTACCAAACTAAATGTCTATTATTATCAGGAATAAAGAGTATGTGATGATACTACAGTAGCTCCACTATGCTGTCATATACTATAACAAATAACAATCCTGTATATTAATGAGTTTACTATGTACTCTTTACTATTCGATAGATAAATTAAGCTTTTAATGTTTTCAAAATAATATTGATAGTACTATGCAGTTAAAAGTTTCAGATAAATATCCATCTTAAATTATTTCATAGCATTCCTGTTGCAATAAATGTTGTCAATAGTTATGATGATCACAATATTTAACATGTAATTATATATTTAATGACTAAATAAATTATCTACCTAAATGTTTTTAATAGTGTAATATCCGTTTAAAGAAAATTATTCTATTTTTTTTTTGAAGAGACATTTTCAATTTGTTTTTTTAATTACTATTAGGTACGTTTTGAACTTTTATACTTATTCATTTGATTCAAAATTTTCATTTCTACGAAAAGTCCAATGCTGGCCAAAGGCCTCCCGATAGATTATGTTATGGCGGGGACATTTGCAATAGTAGCCACGCTTGTAGCATCTTGGGAGAAGGTTTAGCAAGCGTAGTTTTTTATATTTTTATTCAGAAGGATGCTGCGGCTCATCTTTTGTTTTACTTCCGCTGTCGTCTCTTTCGACACCCATGGGTTGATATGGTGTAGTGAATTCTTTTACACCGCTTATCCAAAGCCATTTATTTATTCACCTAATAGGTTTTCTATTATTTCTCGTTTAAATACAGAAAGAGAATGTCCAACAAAGAATTTTTAAAACTTATAAATGTGCCATATAATTAGAGTTATTAATGTTCGCTTGTATTCTTTCACGTTTATTGACATGATATAGTCGTGAACCTCATTTTAATAAAGTTATTGTTGTTTGACTTTCAATCACATGTTAAAACATATTTCTCAATATTATATTCCTTAATAAGTGTCTATTTAAGTGTTTACTCAAATGAATAGTATAAAATATGGGAGAACTTTTAACCTTATATATGTATAATTTTCCAGTAACTATTTCATAGTTTATTATAGGTAAGTTTTGACATAAAATGACAGCCCAAATTTGTCTTCGTAGAGGTTTAAAACATTTTTCTTAGACATACCTATATAATATACAATGTAAGTACGAGAGCTTAGAGCCAGAAATAATATTATCCTTCAGTCGTTATATTTAAGGTGCGTGAGGGTAATATGGTATACTTAAACTTTGGCTCCCTATAAAACCAAAACTGGGAGGAGGAAAGAAACAAAAACAAAAAATCGTATACTATTTGTATTTAAAAAAAAAGTTGTAAATAAGCTTTGGCAATAATTAGGAATACATCTAAAAATCAACTTAAAGTTAACTACACTACACAATACTAAAATCTACTAAAATATTTACTAGAATGCTACTGTCAAAATGGATAAGATAAGCAGGGTACTTTTGGCCATTTATAATTTGATTGACTGATGAAGAGCTATCGTATCACAAAGCCATCCATGCAAACAAGGCTGGTTTTTTTTGAGTTGTAAGAAAATGACGATATCAACCGAATGACCATATTACTCTCACATACTGTATTTGTGGTGTAGACATAGATTAAAGCAGGCTTACTCCCGTAATTTTTCCTAGTTCTTCAAACTAAAGTAGTTTCAAATCTGATTTTCAAAGTTTTCTCTCGAACCAAGTACTATCGAATTACGACCAAGCTTTATCAGTCTGTTAATTTGAAATTCGTTTCGTAAATATTTATAACACGTAAATAGGACAAAGTAGAATAAAATGCGATTAATTCTGAATTCCATTATATCGGGAGTAGGCCGGCGGAACCAAATATATTCAAAATATATTAAAATAGCAAAATGTGTACGAAAAATTTCGATATCTGGTCAGTAATAAAAATAGAGATGTGATGTTTTCGATTTATTATTTTCGATTGTTATCATAAATAATTATGAATTAAATAAAAAACAATATTTCCCAATGCTGTTAACGGAATATACCTCAACACAAAGTTAGTGCTGTAGCCCGCGAGACGCTTGATGAGAGATGGTAAATTAACTCCATAAAATCGTGATACTTTATTTTACACCAGTTCTGCCCGCGACTTCGAAAGTGCGGTGATTTAGTATTTTAAGCAAAGTAGTTAACCCTTGGTTTACATAGTCGCCGTAAACCGTAACGCCGCTTGAGGTAGATACGCATTAATTCACAACGTTTTATTACAAAAGATATATTTTTTATAGGAGGGGGGTGACAAACGAGCACACAGTCCACCTGATAAATGGTTGTTGTGGTCCATAGACATCTATCTACATCTATCCTCGATTAAGAATCAAAATGCTGATGCGTTGTCACTCGTGAGGACTAAGATGGAATACCTCGTTTTCAGTAAAATGGGTCTCCGGTTCCCTACACTCACCATACGAAACAGCAGTAAGCTTAGTTCTTCCCCGGTCGAGCCGACCCATTCGAGCTACAACTATACTACTAATATACTAACTGCAGCATGGACCTCTATAGACCTTTACATTGTACAATTTAATTACGTATTATAAATATACGAGGGACACTCAATAAGTTTTTGAGATATACAAAAAGTATTCTAGATACGATTAATATTTATTTTATATCTTTTCTAAATATTCTCAATCATGCTCTGTACAAAGTTCCATTCGCCTAAACCAACTCTGAAAACACTTTTGCCAGTCTTGATCTGACAGCTCGGAAATCGCTTCTTCGTAGGCAGCCAAGGCTTCTTCGGCGCTTGAAAAAAACTTGCCTTTTATTTTTTCTTTGACTCTTGGGAACAAAAAGAAATCACAAGGATCTTAATCAGGGCTGTAGGGTGGGTGACTTAGAGTTTCAACACCAGATTCCCCAATAAATGCTTTTGTTCTAAGGGAGGTATGTTAAGAGGCGTTATCGTGATGCAGCATGATTTCCCAAAGCCCGGTCTTTGGTCTTCTCTCCTGCACAGCTTGAAAAGCTTTGGGTAATGCAACTATAGTATACCATTCAGAGTTGACAGACCTACAATTATTCAGTATTGACATCGACAAATGTCTGCTCCGCGAAAAAAAACTAGCCACCATTTTCATGTCGACGTTGCGAGGTCTTTGCAGTTTTGTCGGTAACTGTCATATGTCTTGTCTCGTAATAACATGTCTCGTCACCAGTAACGATTTTTCTGAAACACACCTAGATGCCCCGTTTTCAAAACGTAGACGCATTTCATGGCACTAATCCACACGAGACTGTTTTTCACTTTTGGAGAGCAAATGAGGGATCCATCGACAACAAAGCTTCCTCACTTCAAGATTTTGATGTAGGATGGTATGAATGCTCCCCGAACTTAATGCCTACAATCTTTTCGATGTCCGTATATGTGATTCGTGGGACTTCTCGCACCAACATTTCAGCAGTCCATACATTTTCTGCCATTACTGCAGTTTGCGGGGCCCCGGTTCTTTGGTCATCTTTAAGGTTAATTTTACCCTTTTGAATTCAGCAAACCATCTAAAAATTATTGCGCGTGATTGAGTTGACTCGCCTAATACTGATTGTAACCATTATAAATTTAATTGTTCGGTTAAACCAAATTTAAAATCATAGCGCACAAATGTTTACGGCTAAGATCCATCGTTTTAAATGAAAAGTGCGGGAAGCGTTGCAGGAAAATTATATAATAAA